GTGCGCCAGAAGCCCTCCACCCTCCCTCTTCCCTTCTATTCTCTTTTTTTATCCCCTAGAGCACTAGTTCGAACACTATCGAGACATCTGGTTCGAGAGAGAGTTTACGTTAGTCTAGGGCAATGGAACGTGAGGAAGGCATGGGCAGCCACCCATGCAGCCGATTTAATTCCCTGGTGTAATCTCGTTACGCGGGCATTTAACAGGACTGTGTAACAGCGGTAGAGCCCCCTCCTCCAACTCCGCGGCTACATCTGGGAGTAAATTAGACAGACCATGGAGGTTGCCATTATGCCCGGCACGAAGACAATAACCACCGAATTCTCTCAGACTAGATACCTACTAATCCCCGAGGTCCTAGAATCCCGCCAAGAGAAACGTTGAGAATCGGAAACGCTGAAGACATCGCTTCGAGTCAGACTTCGAGTGAATACATTTGCGATTTTTAGTGTGCGAACGCGAATGAGAATGAGAGTACGAATATTTTGGACATTGTACGTATAAGGAGATATTGCGTGAGTAATCTAGAGTGTTTGAGTCACCCTTTTTCTAGCCTTTCATCCTTTTTCAACCTTCTACTTTATAATTCTTTTTTGATTATTGCGAGCTGTCTTCACGAGGACCGGCGCTTTCTTATTTTGATTTTGTTATCGAAAATCGGCCTTCTGGTGCAGACGTGACGCCGAGTGGTGTGCGTTGCTTTCTAGATTTAGTATTTTGTATCCCTTATGCTTTGATAGTTCTTTTTACCCTTTCAGACTGCGCTCTACAAATCCAGAACCGAGGTAATAATTAAGAAACCGTTGTAATCGGAAACCTTCTCTCTGAGATCTGTCTGTCGCCTGCTAGCCATACCCAGAGTCGAGTCAAAGTAAATATCTGAGGACATGCTGAGGTCAGTAGCTGGCGTCCAACTTTTATTTTATGGAGAATATTCAGTGACGGTAAGTCCCTATTTCTTCCTCCCTCCTTTCCTACCAAAGCACTCCTTCCTTCCTCAACTCCGCTTTCCATTGAATGATTTAAACTCTCCAGCCCAATACGACATTTACGTGTTCCTCAGCGAGCTCCATTTTCATTATTGTTTTCATTTTAATTTACTCTACTGCGTAATTCGAGTTCTGTTTTCTTTATCGTAGCGTTCATCTTTTAGTTTATTTTTTATTTCGCATTCTTTTTCTTTTCAATTATATCATTTTATCCCCCCCCCCCCCTTCCCCCTTTTTTT